TATATATTAAGTTGCTCAAGCAAGTGGCAAAATATTTAAACTACTCTTCTTACGTTGACAAGCAATCCTTCAGTTCATAAAAAACTTTGTTCGCTGTTACTTTAATTCAGCGCTTGCAGCACAGCAATAGACTCAGTGCGGAAACGATCTCTGCACTGCTGCAGACGCACCGCTACTGGTGAGTACCTCACCTTCAGCATTATAGCCAAATTTTTTCACCCACGCCGGACAGAGACTGTGCCGCTGCATGTTGTGCCAAACCTCTCACGTAAAATCCTTCAACTTCCTCTAAAAAGCCATGGATACATCTGTTCAGAAACATCAAGACATGCACTGTCAAGAAGGAGAAAATCACTGAAATTTCACCACAAATGTGTTTTTAAAACACTTTCCCATAAACTCTTGAACTCTGTGCTTTTCAATGGCCTCATCGCCTGTTGAAGAAGCAGGACGAGAAATCAGAGTTAACAGTATTCATTTGCGCAATACCGCATGTTCAAGAACACGAAGGATGACGGCGTTTAATATCCAGTTATCAGCAGACGGCATGAGCATCTTTAAGTGTAGATGTTGTAAATGATGTCAAGTTCAGTTGTTTTCTCTCATAAGTTGTACTTCCATTTATGATACAATGTGTAAATGTCTATAAATGACAAACGTGTGTAAATGTTTTGCTGACAACTATGGACGTGTTCATCAGAAAGTACTGCCTTCATTCCCCCCCAATGTGACATTATTTTGTATTTAGTCACTTGGCTTTCCTAGCTCATATATCATATTCTAATGCCGTTCTGTTTCATAAGTAAACAGGCCTTTTATAGTGTAAAAAGTGGGGGAAGGAACGATCGATTTCTATGTCTATCGAGATGGAAATATATTGTACTAAACCAACTATTTCCTCTTGTGTTTTTCTGTCAACAGATCTGGCTTTTAAAGATGATTAAATTTTAGTACCTTTTCATTATTTCTGCCAGTTTGTATTTTATTGGTTTATCAAGATTAACAAGATTGTTTTATGTCTCTCCTGGTATGTTCTTAAAAAGCTAATTTCACAGATTGATGGAATAATGGTCTGTAAACCAAAGCAAAATGTTTTGACCTTTTTGAGCTTATTGAGATCCTCCAGGGAATTCATGTTACATTCATGGCAAAAGTAGAGCAGCTTGAACTGCTACTTTAGGACAATGGTAAATGAGGCAAAAATGTGAACCTAGCAATTCTACAACTGACATCAAGGAGTTAAGAACTGGGATTTTATGTACATTTTTATAAACAAACGGGACTTAATAATGTCAATATCAGTTTTCAATGTCAAGAATGATCAAATTGTGAAAAAATCAGCAGACATAAGATTAGCACAAATATAACCTCAGTATTAAAACTAATTAACGTGCATTTTGTTTACATTCAGAAATGTCTTCGTTTCGACATTTTAACAATATTGTAATTACATGAATTACAGTATGCCAGCAAAACAACACTGCCAACATGCAAAGAATTCCTGAGTCTACAAAAGGTGTTTTTTTTTTTTTAAGTTTTTTTTTTTTAGATAAAGTATCCTGTATTTTGTATTTCTTTATGAAGAAGGCCTCGGTCAACAGCACAAAGCAAGAGAGATTAAACACAAGTGTGATACATTACATTTCTTAAAATGTTAGTTTTGCCATTCATTTACCATTTTGTCATAACTTCAAAAGTGAAAACATACCAGTGTTAATTTGTAGGGTTTTGTAGTTTTTTTTAGTTTTTGTTTTTCAAAAAGTCAAGAGTTAATATCATGTCATGTTCATTAATTTTAGTCAAAATTTTGGTTTACAAGAAATAATAAAAATTTAAATAATATATTAACACATATAATATGTGTGTGTGTGCGTTAATATATTAATTAGACTGTGATGATTTACACTCTTAAAAATAAAGGTGCTTCACGATGCCATAGAAGAACCTTTTTGTCTAAATGGTTCCATAAAGAACCTTTAACATATGAAGAACCTTTCTGTTTCACAAAAGGTTCTTTGTGGTGAAAGAAGGTTCTTCAGATTATAAAAAGGTAAGAAAGAGATGGTTCTTTAAAGAACCTTTGACTGAATGGTTCTTTGTGGAACCAAAAATGGTGGTTCTATGGCATCGCTTGAAGAACCTTTTGAAGCACCTTTATTTTTAAGAGTGTAGTGTTCCCTTAATTGTTTTGAGCAATATATATATATATAGGAAAAAAAAAACTTTGTCTGCATCTGGCATCTCAGCCAGGTTTAGCCAGAGTTGGTGTTTCTGGACTGCAAGTGTAGACATCACCTGCCCGAGGGACCGAGCAGGGACTTCTGTCGCCCGAAGTCAGATGCCGTGTGCAGCTCCTGCATCAACCCTGGGGCAGATCTGCCCTCATACAGCTTTCTTCTTGCCTTGGTTTTTTGGACCTGCAGCACTGTAAGCTTTGGAAGCAAGAGCTGACGTCACTAAGCTACTACAAGCACTCTGCTTCAAAGCAGTAATCTGAATGAGTGGATGCAGCCCGCTACCTTATATACCTATTTGTACAGGGAGTGGTTAAACATGCAAATTACATTCGCCAATATTCATTGGCTGTTTCTTGTATTACTCAGAGGCTTCTAATGTGGGTTATATAGCCTGCGGGGAAAAACTGTTCTTGTGCCTGGCTGTTCTGGTGGTCAGTGCTCTGTAGCGCCAGCCAGAAGGCAACAGTTCGAAAAGAGAGTGGGCTCATTATCAAAAATTATCAAAGATTTTAATAATAATCAAAGATTTCACATAGACTTGCATTGGCTGAGCAAAAATGCCCTCTCTGGAGGACAAGTGAAGTCCACTAGAGGGAGCCACAGAATAAGAAATCTTTCAACTCCCCTCATTTACTTTCGTTTTCAATCAGTTAAATTTACAAATAAATGCTTACTTTTCCTTTATGCTGCCAAGTAATGCTAACATATTTGATCGTGACCAGGTCAGGTAATGACAGTTGACTGATCTGTCCCTGCTCCGATCGGGCCACTGCTGCGTCCTCAAAAAAGTTTGTTATTTGCATGTTTAAGCCTTGCCAATTAAAACATTCAAGCGATTCGTGTCATCTGCTGCAGCTGAAGAAGTTGTTGAGATGTTGACCTCCTGATGCCAAATTTGCACTGTTATGGTCATTGGCCATATATAAACATATGCTATTTACTTACCTCACTGTATAATGCACCTTCTGTTTATACTTCCTTTGCACCTTATGTTGTATTTACAGTCATTTGCATTGACTCTGCCCTTACCTCATAACTTACACTATATGTCATAAAGCTTAATGTGCTGTATTTACCATCATGTTTGTGTACCGTTACACCCCTATATACACTATCTATTTAATTCATCATTGTGGAATACAAGTTTTAGATGATTTCTTAATAAAAACTATAATAATTACATATTTTAATGCTAATTCGTTGAAATAATGCTATAATGCTAATTCATTCATGCATTTTCAGCTGTGGCCAAATATGCGAATACTTTTTGGGGCCACTGTATAAAAAGACCCTTTTCTGTCAAAATACTTATAAATGTATTTGTCGCCACCTAAAGACGTAATGATGAAATATAATTATGAAAAGGGTCAGTGAACAAATCTCGTTGGTGAACGAAATGAAAAGATCAGATCAAAATCCTCACTAGTAGTTACAATTTATATCACTTTTCATGTGGGGTTATCCTGTATTTGATTGGTTGAAATGAGAAACGAGGACTGGAAGCGGCCCAATCACAAACAGACACAAAGCACAACACACACCGTCCGTCTTTTACCGCGCACGAGCATTTTTATTTCTCAATTCTCATACAAACAGATTGTACTCTGTACGTGATCATTTATGAAAGGTTTTAATTTTATTGTACACTATTATAAAAATGTAGTTTGGAAGTCCACGTTTCTCTCATGTTTCATTCATTTTTACATGACTTGGCTCACACCACATGAGGTCATTAGGGGTAATTTGTCCCTCAATGTAATGTCCATTTCATACATTTTACATATTTACGAACGCTTCATTTATCAAATACATGATTTATATTTTCCATATAATATATATCATTGGGGTATTCATTTTTAATGCTTGATATCTATTATTAGATCAAATGAACGCACATGTCCCCCTACATTGGTGAAATAAGTTTCATCCGCATGACCCGGAAGTTCTCATTGCTTTTGGTGACGTTGCGTTAGGCGACAATGGCTCATCTCTGTGAGTAATATTTCTGCATGTTTTTATGCTTTTGTTGAAGATTTATGTTCGTTAAATCAGTGTAAGAGGGAACAGCGATGCGTCGCTGACATGTTTAGGCTGATTTTGTGAATGCAGTTTGTCACATTTTGTCCAAACAGTTGTCAATCAGTACCTGCATTTATTCTGATATTAGTTACTATGATATTAGATGTTTTTAGTAGTATTGTGCGTAGTATTTATCCAGTGTCAGGTGAACATTTATAGTGCATTTTATAGTTTCGTTGAGTCATATTATATTAGGAGTATGTTATAGCTTCTGTATTTGACAGCTTTTGCAAAGAACGTGTAAATTCTAGCGTTTAAATCTAAACCTATTTATATTTAGGACCTAAAGGTCCCCCCCTCTCTCTCACTTCTGTTGTGAAGTTATAAAATCTTAATAAGGACACTTCAAGATTACAGCTGAGAATTTGTAATATTGTGATTTTAGGCCAGGAAAAGACCTGGACATTTCTGTAGTGAATATAAATATTTTAAGTTAAGCTCAGCTGTAAAATATTTTTTGGATAAAGTGTCGATGTTGCAAGATGTGAGTTCAGTATTAAGCAGCTCTACAGAAGACAATAGTTAATTATTTCAGCTTAATTCAATTCATCTGGTCTGGATACAGGCTGGATCCAACTATGGTAACCTCGGGATAAGAATGAGACGGAGACTAATATTAGGTAGATGCCATTCCTCTTTTAATGTAACAAGTACACTGGGTGTTATGAGAAGTGTTCCCCATTCCAGTTGTCCTAATTAATGCAGGCTAACAATCCTTTTATGGATTTGAATTATAGAAATGTGAAAGTATGTTGTGTATTCTAGGCTAAAGAGATGGGTCTTCAATCTGTGTTTAAGCTTACAGAGTGTGTCTGCCTCCTGAACATTGCTAGGTAGACTGTTTCAAAGTTTGGGTGCTAAATAGGAAATGGATCTACCACCTACAGTCAATTGTGATATTTTAGGAATTTTGTGACTGCAAGAAACGTGAAGGATTATAATGTGAAAGAAACTGAGAAGCTAAACTATTCAGGGATTTCTAAGTAATCAGCAAAATTGTAAAATGTATACAATGCTTAATAGGGAGCCAATGCAGTGTTGACAGATAATACTTGCTATTACTATATATACTGTGTATTTATATATTTATAGATAGATAAATAGATGGATAGATTCTCTATTGTGAGTGCTTTAAAGAACAATGACATTAAAATATAATAAATGATATAGTATTATTATAAGTATTATTATTTTCTATTAAAAATATATTTTTTGTATAATTAATTAGATATTCCTTTAGGGTTTATTTACTTAACTCAAAAATGAAAATTCTGTCACTCACCTTCAAGTTGTTCCAAGCCCATTCATTTTCATTCACCCATTCATTTTTATTCATTTTATTCATATTCAAAACACAAATATCAATATATTTTTAATGAAACTGGAGACTTTTTGTCTCTCCATTGAAAGTCCACGCAACCAAACGTTGATGCTTCAAAATGTTTATGTTGTAAACGTAACCCATAAGAATTTTTATATAGATTAGTTTTACGATGTCTTTTTGTACTTTTTACTACATGGAAGTTTTGGTTGTTTGGACTTTCAATGGTACAAAAATGATAAGAAAATATAAAAAATATCTTCATTGGTTTTCTGAAATTGGATGAAAGCCTTCAGGGTATGGAACAATATGAAGGTAAGTAAATGGTAACAGATCTTTCACTTTTGGGTGAACTTTAAGTTCAAAGACCTGTCTTTGCTTAACCTCCTAAAAAAACCTGTTTAAACATGGTTTGGTGGACTTGGCTAGTTTAAGCTAGTCTCCTTGGCAAAGCTGGTGTTTAGCTGGGCAGCCTAAAAGTCACTTTCAAATAATATGTCACATTGCACACAGTAATTTTCACTAGCAAATTGTGTTTTCTGTTTTGATCCTGACAGATTCCTGTGTCAAATGACACGCGTGATTTGCTTTTGGCCACTGTCAGTGAGGACTCCACTGCCTCTCAGATCCATCAGTCTGTGAGTGCTCTCAGCGCTCTTGGGTTACCTCTGGCCTCACAGGAAGTGGTCAGTGCCCTGAAAGCTCGCATCTCCAAAGAGGATAATGTCTTGGCGTGAGTACATGTCCTTATGTTAAAAAGTTCTGTTTTAACTTGAGGCTTGCTTTGTGGTCTCTTTTTATTAGTTTAATTTTGAGACCTAACTCTGATTTTCTCTTCTCCTGACAGAATCATTTTGGCACTGCTGACTGCGTCTCGTCTCTCTCAGCAAGCTGAGCTTGGAGATATCCTGGAGGAGATTGAGGTGAGAGATTAGATTTATTAGCCACAGAACAATCAACTGTAAGCCTAAAGCCTAGACTACAGAAATTATAAAATAACAGTTTGGGGATTTTTTTTTTTTTTTTTTACAAACAGTTTGGTTTTTTTTTTTTTTTTTTTCTTTTCTTTTTAAGTTCTGCAGAGCTTAGTAAAAAAAATGTACCTGAGGGTGCAGGGCTATGCAAGTCATGGCAAAAATAACAATTAAACTATTTTAATAAAATGTACTGTTGATTATGGGCAGAAATAACACTGCTAGTTTTTATTAGCAATGCATCATCCATAAATTTGAAAAAGAAACATGATCGTTTGAAATAATCCAATCATAGTCAAATAACGGGGGGCATTACCATTTGAACTGTGTGAGCTGAAGCTGACAAGTATATAAACACCTGAATACCGAGGCACGTTACTAGTGTGTTAATTACCTCATCCAAATGCATCCTATATGAAATTAATCAAATAAATACTCAACATAAACATTATTACAACTCATGTCTTCAAAAAATGATGTGACTGCACAAGTGAACTTTAAATTACGTGCTAGTCAGAATGTGTAACTCCCATTGTGAATGCTTTCTTCCTGTAGGATCACACTGAAACAACACAGTGCAAAAGCACAAGAAAAATCATAATACTACAATAGTAGTAATATACATTTTCTGTGACAGCTTGGTGTGCACTTAATTGCGCAACTACATTTTCTGCATTATCAAGTGATTCGTCCCTGCAGTTTTTTGATGCCATAACAAGAAATCATTTTAAATTAAAACGTAGTGTTGAAGAAAATATTATGAGAAAAATAACCAGATTATTATTAACAATATCATCGATATGTTTAAAAAAGAACATCTAGAAGGAATATGATGTTGCTGTTTGAGCTGTGCTGAGGCTGAAGGGTGAATGAACACCAGTAAGTAAAGCGTTTTGGTAGTGCAGCTGATTATTTAACTCAACCAAATGTGTCCTATATAGAAGTAATCCGATATATACAACATAAACCTAAAATTACAACTTACATTTGCACAAAAGCTCACATGCTAAAATAGAGGTGCACAAAGAATTTACAACATACATTACATTACAACACTGTTTTCATTATAATATGTATATGGCAGATTGGTGCTGTACATCTTGGACCTAACTGTATTTTCATTATTAAGTGATTCCAGGCATTACTGTGCACTTTCAGAGCCATACTTTCACTTTGTTTCTCAGGTCTTGATGGTATACTGTACCATCGCTAACCTGTCAGACCAAATGATCATTGTTTTCAAGTACTTAAATGCCTTTATTTACAGTGCATAACAATTTGAATTTGTGTAGGCCATTTTAGGGTAGTGAATTAATTTAACAGTTCATGTTTTGATTGTTACTAATGGTCAAATCTCACATGTCCAGGATCACGTTTAATACCAGTTTTTAAAAGAAAAAAATTGAAGTAATATGCTTTATTATAACAATTATTTTTGCAGTGTTGTTGTTATTAACAATCAACTGAAGACAAATCTGCTTTGCACTGTATTTCAAACTTTTCTGATTTGTCTCATTTGCTCTGTGTACCAGAAACCTGGTATTCTTGTGTGATTTGTATATTTTTCTTCATTGTAGGATCTCGCTGCCCGTTTAGATGATCTGGGCGGAGTGTATCTTCAGTTTGAGGAGGGGCTGGAGGCCACAGCATTGTTTGTTTCTGCTGCGTATTCCCTGTCCGATCATGTGGACATGGAGCCCCCCCTGAAAGAGGTTCATAGTTTATCCCACTCAGAATAAATGAATAACTATGTACAACAAATACCTTCTGTAAGTATTTGAAGTACTGTCTCGAGGTAAACGGCTCCTCCTCTTGTCCATCACAGGATCAGGTAATCCAGCTAGTGAACTCCATCTTCAGTAAGAAGTCTTGGGACTCTCTCTCAGAGGCATTCAGTGTGGCTAGCGCGGCTGCATCGCTTTCCAACAATCACTTCCATGTGCCTGTCATTGTCAGTGCCCAGGGCCCTGCTGCTGTATCCCACAGCCATCCCTTCCTCCGGGTAGGCCTCAATTTTAAGTGTGTACTCTATATTTTTTAAGAGACCTGAAATAATCTGTAATGTCTGTGTTTGTTACTGCAGCTTCAGGTGACGGATGTCCTTTGCCAGCCCCTCAGTTCAGCAAGTGTGCTGGCGGAGTCGGCCAGTGCTGTGTCCTCAAAATCTGCCGTCCTAAGCCAGGCACTCTTCACCCTCAGAGAGTATGTGCATTGCAGATGACAACTTTCAAATAATGATTAATGCCATACAAATTTTGAAACTGCAGAAGAAAAAAAACAAAACATGCTACTAAACATACTTCCTTTAAAAAGTTAGAGTTAGTTCACCCAAACATGAAAATTCTGGTTTCTACTCGTCCTCATTCCTTTCCAAACTCCTTAAGATTTTTATTCATCCTCGGAACACAAATTAAATTTTTTTTTTAATATTCTCTCTTAATTTTTGACCATTAAATACACAATCGGTTTTCAAGCTTCAAAAAGTACATAAAGACATTGTAAAAGTAATCTATATGAATCAGGTGGTTTGATCTAATTCACACAATCACTTAATATGATGAACATATTTAATTTAGGCTTTTATTCATATATAAGCATTAATCATCACACATACATAAAGCACATTAAATATGTTTAATGACAGTTCAAATGTGCGTGCTTGACCTGCAAGAACGAATGAGTTTTATTCTTGCGTGTCAATTATGTATGTTTGGGCTTCGAGTTTATCTATAATACATTTAAAATTAGTGCTGTCAAACGATTAAATTGCGATTAATCGCATCCAAAATAAAAAAATTTGTTTACATAAGATATGAGTGTGTACTGTGTATATTTATTATGTATATATTAATACAAACACATACTGTGTATATATATATATATTCATAATAAATTAACACAGTACACATACATATAGTATGTAAACAAAAACTTTTATTTTGGATGCGATTAATCGTTTGACAGCACTAATTTAAACTATCCCTTTATGTAATGTGCACAGTGCTTGAATATTTTATTTTGTAATAGAGTTCCAAACTCTGGATAAGTAACGTAATATGCCTGAAACACAGTGATAATTTCATTTGGAAATATTTCCTTTGTTTAAAAGACTGTCCTTTGTTTCACAGTGGAGTTTTTGAGCTGAATTTCATGGCCAGCCAACCAGCGAGTGGCTACTATCAGTTCTCTGTTGCCATTGCTGGTGACAGCCGATTTGTTGCCAACCATGTTGAGGTACTTTACTGAATCTTTGAAATGTGCTAGAAAAATCTAAAGTTTAGTTTGTATCTGTTTATCTTATTGTATCTGTTGTGCCTTGTCGTGACCGCAATGAGTTGACCTCAGCGTTTAACTCTTAATTGTTGCAATGAACTGTGATTCATTTCCTCATTCACTCAACATTCACGTTTAATTGGTCTAGAGTGCGTTCATTCACATTGTAGCTATGTAAAGAATAATTGCTCTGACTGTTCAGTGTACAATTATAAGGTCAAAAGCATGTCACATATGCTGTGGAGATTTTCTGAAGTCATTGGCCTCTTTCAGTGAACAAATTACAAAAAAGGCACAATTATTGTAATTGCTGTAGTTTTTTCTTTCTTCCAGCATATTCACACTTACGAGTGTCCATTTTAATGGATTGAAATAATTTCTTATTGTGATGTCATTTTAAAGCCTTAGATTGAAACTTGTTTGATTTGCTTTCTCAGCTCAAAGTAAAGGTCTCTACCAGAGTTGCCATCAACAACATGGATTTGTCTGTCGTGGACAAGGACCAGAGTATTGGCCCCAAAACCACCAGGTAAGATCTAGAACCACCAGCTTCTATCAAGCTCTATTTTATTCATTTTCTTTTTATTGTATAATTAAGCCAGCGTATGTGTTGAACTCTGTTTTTCAGAGTTGAATATCCAACTAAAGCCAAAGCATCTTTTATGGCAGATGGCCATCAAAACTTTGCCATGACGTTCCAGTTAGTGGATGAGACCACGGGAGTGGAACTCACCCCTCACCAGGTGATTATCCCATCCAAAATGGTTTTCTTTTATGCATAAAGCATGACAAGTGAATAAATTCTGCCCTCATTGTATAGTCTTATGTGTTTGCGTTCATTAGTGAGACAAGCCTTTTTGTGAGATTTTGATCTTCAAAGGGGACATCGGATGCAAAATTCGCTTTTACATGGTGTTTGCATATGAATGTGTTTTAGCAGTGTGCAGACACAAGCACCATACAAGGATAAAAATCCATTCGCTTTTTTCTTTTTAATCCCCAAAAAACCTTAACAGTCTCAATTATTTCTGAACAGTATGACGTCATACTGCTCAGGCCCTGCCCACGACCGCTGACGGATTGTCCTGCCATTTTCTCTGCGCTCGAACAGCTGTAGCGACTTGACTCGTAAGCAATGCAGGTGTTTTGTAGTTAAATGTAAAAGTGGCCGGTTTCATACCGCAAAAGTGAGCAGCCGCTGCTGTGACGCTGTTCAAACACTTCCAGTGTGAATATTCTCGCAGTGACGATTAAGTTACGCTAACGCGAAGCTCAAGTTTGCGGTGTGAAACAGGCGTAAATAAGGGGTAAGTGTCTTAATTTTCTCCCGACATCAGAGCCACTGAGGACAGTTTTGTTTTTGATGGTAACGCAATAAAACGGAAGAGATGGGTGGGGTGAGTAGTAGCTCATTATCATTTAAAGAGACATGCACCGAAACGGGCCGCTGTGAACGGAGCTGCTTATGATAAGGTAAAAAGGGTGTTGTTTTACACAACCATTGAGAAATTTTAACCAACGTATGTTGCAGACATTTCATGAAGACCCTAAAGATTCATACCAGCTTGTTGAAAATGGGCATCCGATGTCCCCTTTAAAACCTTGGATAGGGATGTGTGATTACGTCCATGTCATCAAAATCTCACTCCAAGCAAGCAAAGTTGGCAACCCTATTTAAATGCACTGTTCAAAAACATTTGAATGAACTGATTAAAGTCATTGCTTTCAGACCTTTGTGAGGTTACACAACCAGAAGACAGGTCAGGAGGTCGTGTTTGTGGCTGAACCTGACAGTAAGAATTTGTATAAGTTTGAGCTGGACACCGCTGAGAGAAAGACAGAGTTTGACTCCATCTCTGGCACCTATGCTCTTTACCTGATGGTGGGAGACGCTACGCTGGAGAACCCCATTTTGTGGAACGTGGTAAGGCAGTTATTTTCATTGGAGAACTCTGGGATCTTGAAATAGACTTTTGCAAGTGCTGTGTTGTTGTTTTTCTGACATGTTTGGAAATGTTGAATTGTCATTGTTTAGTCTTAATTTAGACTTAATTTTTCTCAAAGGCTGACGTTGTGCTGAAGTTCTTAGATGAAGAGGCACCTGGAACAATTCAGGCTAAAACTTTGTATGTGCCCAAACCAGAAATCCCGGTAATTCTGACTTTGCTATGACAATCTGGCGCTTCTGAATCATCTACTGGTTTGTTATTAGTTTAAAGTATTTGCTATTAATTGTTCAAATGCTGAGTTTTGCGCATCGTGTGTGAGTGTGCGCGCGCGCGTGTGTGTGTGTGAGAGAGAGAGAGAGAGACAGGGTCACAT